TTATTTAAAAACTCCTCTATACATTTTTATTTTTGGCATAGCAATTCCTGACCCTCTGCTTCTTGGAGGCAGGAATGAAAACTGGTATACTCTGATCATAAGAACTGATGGAAAGTGGATTTAATTGAACTTTTTCTCTCAGCTACAACTGCAGGTAGATGAGAACAGAGATAACCTTATTGTCATGACATGACTGGTACAAAGAGATGAGTCTTGGGACCTAAGAGCCCTTATTAAAGTATCATCTCAAAGCCCTACCTCAAAGCCTAGAAAAGTTTGATCAGATGGTCTGAGCAGCCTCCCATTTCCATTCCTACTATATCAACAAACAGGCTTAATTAAAAATTGTGTTATTGAAAAGATGATAGGAAAACAGAGTAATATGAAAAAGGACACAATTAATGACTGGTGTCCTCTTTCTCTTGAGACCATCTGACCATTACCTGACCGCATTTCCTAGAGTCAGAATCTAGCACATAAATGCCTACAAGTGTGAGCATGTTCTGGTCAGCATTTGCTCACGGTCTCTGGAAACTACTCCATGCTACTGGACATGTTAACTGCATCTGATCTACCTTGACTTCAGCAAGGCTTTTGATACTGTCTCCCATAAGATCCTCATAGAGTAGCTCAGAAAATGTGGCCTAGGTGGGTGGACAGTGAAGTAGATTGATAATTGGCTGGATGGCAGAGCTCAGAGGCTTGTACTTAGTAGTTCAATCTAGTTGGAGGCTTGTAGCTAGAGTTGTCCATAAGGGGTTAGTACTGGGTCCAGTTTTGTTCAACTTACTCATCATCAACCTAGATGATGGAATGGAATGCACCTTCAGCAAGTTTGCTGATGACACAAAGCCCAGAGGAGTGGCTGATACCCCAGGGGGCTGTGCACCATTCAGAGAGATCTCGACAGGCTGGAGAGTTGGACTGAGAGGAACCTCATGAAGCTCAACAAGGACAAGTGCAGGGTCCTACACCTGAAGAGGAATAACCACAAGCACCATTACAGGCTGCGGCTGCCCTGCTGGAGAGCAGCTCCAGCTCATGGTCTAAACTTTTGGGTAGACCTGTGTAGGCGCAAGGAATTGGGCTCAATGATCATCATGGGTCCCTTCCAACTTGGGATGTTCTATGAGAAGCTATGAGAAGCTCTGCAGAGAGCAACCAAGCAGTCCTGGTGGTGGACAGTAGGCTGACCACGAGTCAGCAGTGTACCCTTGTGGCCAAGAAAGCCAATGCTATCCTGGGGTGCATTTGGAAGAGTGTTGTCAGCAGGTCAAGAGAGGTGATCTTACCCCTCTACTCAGGCCTAGTGAGGCCACATCCAGAGTATTTTGTCCAGTTCAGGGCTCCCCAGTACCAGAGGGACATAGAAGTACTGGAGTAAGTTTAGAGGAGGGCTATAAAGATGATTAGAGGACTGGAGCACCTGTTGCACAAGGACAGGCTGAGAGAACTGGGCTTGTTTAGCCTGGAGAGGAGACTGAGGGGAGATATCATTAACATATATGTAAATACCTGAAGGAAGGGTGTTTAGAGAATGAAGCCAGTCTCTTTTCAGTTGTGCCCAGTGACAGGACAAGAGGCGATGGGCACAAACTTAAGCACAGGAAGTTCTGGCTCAATATGAGGGGGCACTTTACTGGGAGGGTGACAGAGCACTACAACAGGTTACCCAGAGAGGTTGTGAAGTCTCCTTCTCTGGAGATATTCAAAACCCCACCTGGATGCCATCCTGTGCAATTTGCTCTAGATGATCTTACTGAGTAAGGAGGTTGAACTAGATGATCTTCAAGGTCCCTTCCAACCTTGGCCATTCTGTGATTAATAATCCTCACAGTCCCTTCGAAGTTACTTTTTAATAGCTTTGTAGCTTCATTTTACATATTTTCTCCAGCGTGACCACATGCTCTCCTTGCTGTAAAATAAAGAAACTTCCAAAATGTATGCCTGTTTCCCTCCTTTGTCCAGGCTTCCTTCACCCAAAATGGTAATTTATTGCAATATATGAAACAACTGTTCACTGTGGATATGTTTTTCTTATGTTTTTTATGGCAGATTGCAAAGAGTTCACAGAAAAGATTCCACTGAATGGAACCAAGATGTAATAAATAAAGGAGATTTATTTGTAAAACCTCTGTGCTTCTGATCTGTTTCCTATTTTTTGTGTGTTCTTCCAAACTGTCAGTCATAGTCTCCATTTAAGTAGGATTACATCTGAGGATATAACAGTCCTGTAATATTGTTGACTTTGTGACATAAAAAACACGATTTCTGCAGAATGCAAAGTTTTGATTAGTTCAGAGTCCTGGCATAGCCAGACATCACAGAAACTTTATAAAAAGGAATTAAAAAATGTGGCACACAAAAAAAATAGGTCAGAGTTTGGCAGCTCTCTAAACATTAACAGTACATAAAAAGAAAATACAATCAGCAAACGTTATTTTGCTATGCTATTATATTGATGAGGCTCCCACATCTCATCTAGGCTGTTCATGTGATTACTCCACTAAAAAAATACACAGCAGTGACAGCAGTGTGTACACGGGGGGTGGGGAGGGAGGAGGGAAGAGAGAAAGACAGAGAGAGAGAGAGATCAGTGATCAGGAGTGGCCTGTATATAAATTATACTATGTAAGGCAAGACCCTTCTTTTTTGGAAGTGCAAACTTTCCACAGAATACTCTGAAAGTCAAAAGACTAATGAATTATAAAGATTTTTTTTTTTTTTTATTTCCTTTAAATTTAGATGAATTTTTTGATAATAGGTCCACTGGAAGCAATTATTCATGTTCGTTCAGGTAATAGCCCTAAACCACTATCTATTATTCTCTCTGGACATACTCAGTTCTGGTATCTTCTCTCTTAGACTGGGGATCAGAACAGCCACTGTGTTCAGGTTTCATACACTTACAGATATAGACTTAACATTGAAATGCAGCAAAAATCTGTGATTTTTTTTTCCCTCTCTTTTATTTTCTGATAATTTCTGTAGTTTGTTTTGTGCTTTTACTGAGCAGAGAGAAAGATCACCTCCACTGACCTGTTGGCAACTCTATAGTCCTAAAGCAACTAAAGCAGGATGCTTGGTCTTCTCTTCTGCAAGGGCACCTTGCTGGCTCATGTTAGACTTGTCCACCAGGACTGCCAGGTTCCTCTGTGTAAAACTGGATTCCAGCTGCCTCATCCCCAGCCTGTGCTTAGGTATGTTTTTATTCCTTTTGGGGAGCTGGACCTTACATTTCCCTTTATTCAAGTTCCAATCAGACCTTTTCTCCATCCTCCTGTCAGGGTTCCTATCACCCAGTGCTCCCAGTTTTGCATTTTCAGCAAACTTGCTGAGAGCACATTCTGTCCCATCATCCCGGTCACTAATAATGATGCGAAATGCTATTGAACTTACCTTTCCTGGCCCTGTATTTCTTCTAGAGTGTTGTTTACAGTTTTCTCAGTTGTGTCCAGGCTTCTTGTTAAATTAGGAGGTCCCAAACAAATCCCTGGTACCATAGGGATATCACTAAATATCGTGGGACTATCCAGAGGTGGTGTTAATGCTTCTTTCATGTTGAACATCAGGCTGTCACCCTGCCTGCCAACCTAAAACAGCCTCCAGTTAGCTTCCACCTTTACAATGTAATTTTTTACTGTCAGAGAATATCATGTCTTCGAGTGTGTAATAACATAAGTAAAATTTTAAAACAGAAGCCTCAGTCAGACAGAAGCTTCATTAACTATGACCATTGACCATTGTGAAAAAATGCTCAGGCAGCATTCCCCGCCCCCCCCCCCCCCCCACGTGCCCCCATGCTTTTTTCCCCAGTGGTATCAGAGACCTGGTAGAGACCTGGTTTAAATACTGTTTCAAATAAATTAAAGAGGTATTGAAAATCATCCTAATGTTAACAAAGCCAGGTGTGCATTCTTGGGAAGAACGGATTTCAGAGAATCATTTATATGTTAATTAAGCTAAGTACCTATTCCTGGGAGGGATGAATTCCTTAAGTTTCTTTTGAACAGTCACAGTTGACACTGTGGTGGGACGTGTAGGAGTATCATATCCCATCTTTTCTTATCTGGGAGATAGACTGCTAGTTTTTGGTTGAATTGAATGTTCCTTTTGTTAGGACAAACTTCTTAGACCTCTCAAATCTTAAACATTAATATTTTTTTCCACCACACTGCTCTTTGTGTTCTTAGGATCTTTATCCATCTCATCTCAGTCTGTGGCATGGTATAATCATGGCTTTCCCCCCTGGAAATATTAAACCTTTATCAACTACTGTTAAATTAATTGTTTAAAGGAGATGCATGGTATTCTTTACACGGCCATGCAGAGGTGATGGAGAAATTTTCAAGATTTTTTTTTTTTTTTTGTCAATTCTGTCACTGTCAGCATGTCTCACAGTTTTATTCCAGTTTGATTCTGTATACAAACATGATACTTTGCTTCCAGAATGCAATGTGGAGTAAACCAGCTAGTTCTCTCCACCAGGTAAGTATTGCACAATGTGATAACATTACTTCACCCCAGGGTCTGTTCCAGTGAGACAATAAAGTTACAGAATAGACTATCACAGTCATTATTCAGAAAGAAAAAGTGTTCCTATACATTCCTTCACACTATGAACACAAATACAGAATAGCATCTGAAATTTAGAACTGCACTGCATTCAACCTTGTGAATCTATATGCCATGTCAAATCAAGATTCAGCTATACAATGCAGAGGGACAGTCCTGAAAGAGCCAACAGTGTCTTGATACAAAAAGAAAAACAAGTAGGGTCCTGCAAACAATTAAATTTCTGTGAATCCTCTTTCCATCTCTTATGGCTGGCCTCCACTAGTGCTGGAAGTAAAACACAGAACAGACAAAAAAAAAAAGTAGTTGATTGAAATCTGTCTCTGGATATAGAATATCCTGCATAGCTATGTGGTGTGAGCAAGACACTGAAGTGCTGGCATTCTTTGTGTAGGAGTAGGGAATTAGATATGCTGAAAATAGATCCTTCCTGAGAAGATGATCTATCAGCTGCCTCAGTCTGCCAGCTCCAAAGATACAACTTCCCCTCCCCCATTCTGAGGGGGCCAGAAAAGAGAAGAGGTAGTTTCAGTAGTTCAGGTAAAATAAAATTGAATATCTCAAAATTTTCAGTTTGTGGTATGCCATTACAAGAGCCCCAGAACTTAACTCACTGCTTTTCATGTTGATATGGCAGTTGCAGTTACATTTCAAGTGGAATAACTGACTTGAACAATGCATTGTTCTGAAAGAAGCATTTACTCACTCAACACAAGCTCTGTGGTGTTTTGTCTTCAACCAACAGTATCCGGATTTTAAGGTAACACATTATTTTGTTAGTGAAATGAACTAGAAAACTGCCTATAATTTATGTGACTCAAACTAGTGGTATCTTACTAATCTGTGACACCTTCACTTCTTTCAGCCCTTTACATTCATTCAATTAAATTGTCACTCCGGGGGAAAAACAAAACAACAACAACAAAAACAGAAACAAAAAGCACTCCTTTGTGCAGTGGTTGAAACTGCAGAGTTCTTCAGACCTGGGAATTTATAGCTGATTGACATGACTGGAGATGTTACACTGCCAAGTGCTATTGTTTCCGTTCTTAGCAGATTCATGGATGCTGACAATAGAAGAAACTCATACTCTGATTAGGTCAGTTAGTATAATAGAGATTCAGCTACTCTGAGTAGGTCAGTTAGTATAATAGAGATTGCAGCTTTTGTCAAGCAGCAGAGCTCTTGTGCCATGATGAGCTACTGAAATGTATGTTCAGGTCCTCCACATAGGTAAGGAAAAGACACCTGACTACAGTCTTACCTGAAATAGTTATGAGGAGAAAGGCTTTTTTTCCATTACTAGATCTGATCTCAAGGATTTCAAGGTCTTACTGCTGATTCTAATTACTAAATCAAAAGGGGGGAAAGAAGAAGGAAAACGGAAAGAGAATCACAATCCACTAAAGACTTAAGTAACATTTTTGCTTCAGAAATTTGGTTTCAGACAATAGGAAATGATGATAGATGGGGTAAGTTTGAGAGAATAATTTAAAAACACAAGTAAACACAATAATTGTTTATAATAGCAAAAATAACCATAACTGACCCAGAAAAGTCAGTATTACTGTAATATTTGCAAGAAATCAGCAAAGGTTAATGTAATGCAATAATTTGTGCAAGCCCTTGTATGTCCATAGTAATACTTTCTGTATACTGTAAAATTCTCACTGAGGCATTTTGGTGTTTGGTATCAAGCTTATATTAAACTCTCTTTGTTTAATGTATTCAGTGTTTTTTTGTTTTGTTTTGTTTTGTTTTGTTTCTGCAGTTTTCCTAATGTTATTGCTGGACTCCCAGAGTTTCCCTGTTGGGCTCTGTCTCAGTCTGTAAACTCTGATCCTGTCCTTGACTGGGGCGATCTGGAGATTCTCTATTCTTCCTACAGTCTAAGTGGGACCAGTTCTGAGTGGGTAATGTTAATCATTGCCCACGCTGCATCTTTTCTGGTCTGACTAGCATCTCTGCTTCCAGCAAAACAGAAACTTCTAGTCCTACCCATGTTGTTTAGTTACCTGGATTTGGGTCCCAGCCATCTTCCTTCTCCATCAGCTTTGATTAAAAGAAAATTGCTTTGCATTGTTATAGTTGGGCAGGACATCTATAATCAGCTCAGTACACATTACACCACTGCATTACCTAGGGCAATCCATATCAAGTGGTGATTATTCATTGTTAATGTTTGTCAAGTTTGCCAGGAGGAGAGGAGTTTGAGTTTGAGCCTGCAAGAATGCAGCAACATTTCTCTCTCCATGATCTCAAGATGTGTACACAGCAGGTGTCCCAAGACAGGTGGCAGCTCTAACCAAGTGCAAGTAGGCACAGAAAAGCAGCAGTAGGATTTGTCTCTCTGGTTTGTCTGAATTGATTCTTCTGATGACCTGTCATTATCAGACCAATACCATAACCTATGGCATTTACTTTGATACAGATTAATTGTTTGCCTCATTGCTGCTCTTTGTTGTATTTAGTTTTCAAAGTACTGGCCATCAGTTCTTTCTCACTCTCTTATTTCTTCCTGCTCCAACCCCCATGGTGTCCCCTGCACTCTGAACATTAGAATTGGGTTGATATTTTATTTGTGTGAAATTGTTTTATATCTGGGGGGGTTGTAAAAAAGATTGAGCCTTCTCTAGTTCTGTCTTTGATTTGAAATGGGCTGGTGATGTTCTTTCATAACCAGGATGAGGAAAAGACTTCTGGAGAGTACAGCTGAGGACAGAAAAATTGCTCATTTAATATTCTTATCCAGAAATTTCCACTGCTTTTGGGTGCAGCTGGAGACATAAAAAGATTTGAAGCATGTCAGTCAAAAGATTGGCAAATGCATTAAAAGAACAGATGCCCTCAGAAACAGTGTCTATTCATGCTACATACATTTGTCAAGATAAATCAGGATAAAAGGGCAGTAACAGGAGTGAGAGAAAAAATAAAGAGAGAACACAGCAGCAGCTGGTACTAATTAGTAGTCTGCACAGAAACAGGCACTGGGATTGGAGGGGAGGAGAAAGCTACTGTATGTGAGAAAGTAGCTGCAGTGTTGATTGGTTATCTTTCCAAGATGTCTCTTCTTCTAGGCAGCCCCTTCAAACTCTACATGGTATCTCTCCAGACCATTTTCCATACTATCTCTTCCTCTTTTCTCTCTCTCCCACTAGATACAGGCCATGGAGAACTCCCATTAGATATAGACTGTAGAAAAGCTCCATTTAGAGTTTGTGAACACATTTTGCACAAAATCATTTGCCAAAATGTCTTTTAGGATGAGGTCTTATATGTTTTCTTGGGCAGTAATAAAAAAATGGCAGTAAATTCTGGTGGGTGTGATGCCTCTTTAGCCTCATGTACTTAACATTCATCTGTTGTTTTAACTTTCTTCCATTAAATACTGCACAACATATGCTTAAAAACATGATTCTGTCCAGGAAACAGGTTCAGGACAGCCAAATACATTAAATACATTAGCCATATCATACCTATTGTGTAGTAACGCAAAAAAAAAAAAAAAAAAAAATAAAGGCCTGCTGGCCTGCCCTGTGGAAGTGTGGTGGTTTTTTACTCGGGTGGGCAGCTGAGCTCCACCACAGCCTCTCTCTCAGCCCTCCCCCTTTCTCAAAGGGTAAAGGGGAGAAAATATGATGCAAAGGGCTCAGGGATTGAGATAAGGATGGGGAGATCGCTCAGCAATTATTGTGATGAGCAAAACAGACTCAGAGTAAGGAGACAGTAAGATTTATTGCCTATTAGTAACAAGCTAGAGAAGTGAGAAACAAAGGAAAGAAACCAAAAATACCTTCCCTCCATCCACCCTCTCCCACCTCCTCCCCTTGAGCTGTGCAGGGGAATAGGGGAGTGAGGGTTGTGGTCAGTCTATAGTGCTTTGTCTCCGATGTTCCTTCTCGGTCACTCTCTTCCTTTGCTCCAACGTGGGGTCCCTCCCATGGGATACAGTCCTTGCTGAACTGATGTGGCATGGCCAACAGACAGCAGCTCTTCAAGAACTGTTCCAGATATGGGTCTATACCACGGGTCCATCCATCAGGAGCACACTGCTCCAACCTGGGTCCCCCACGTGCAGCAGCTCCTGCCAGGTCACCTGCTCCTATGTGGGCTTCTCTCCACGGGCTACAGGTCCGGCCCAGAATCTGCTCCTGTGGGGGTCCTCCACAGGCCACAGCCTCCATCAGTGCAGTTCCACCTGCTCCACTGTGGTCCCCTTCATGGGCTGCAGCATAGAAACCCCCAGAGCCAGCGGGTTGGGGGTGGGCACGTTTTTTTTTTTCTTTCCAGCATAATTTTTTCTTCCCCTCTTCTTGTAAGGAGGGGAAATGAAAGAGCAGTTGTGGAGTTCAGCTGCCCAGCAAGGTAAAACCACCACAAGGAGCTGTGCAAATTAACCACAAACTGTTCGAAAACCCCTTCCTTCTGTCTTTGGCCACCTATTAATTTCACTTGATTTACTTCTTACATAGGAAGATTCAGTGATCCATCCACTCCCAATCCTCTCTCCTTTTCCTCTCCTGATTTTACAGACCTCATCTTACCCCCTGGCTGTCTCTTCTCAGGCTTGAAAGGCCTGAGGCTGACTAGGCGTTTTCAAGTGCTGAAGGACATTTCAGATCCCTGTGCCAGATGACATTGAATGTTCTTTACGGTGGAAGGGATCCCTTCAAGGGTGCTGGAAAATATCTCTCATTCAGATTCATGTGTATGTTGGAGTAGATTAAAAATTTGCTAGCCTCCCTATTGCATATTAAATGTATGACAATCTCCTCAAATGTACTTGCATATACTGGGGGAACCTGATGGAGCCTGATTTGGCATAAAAATCTCTCAGCTCAGCAATTCCCATACAAACATGCCTCTGAGGACCCCAGCTGAAGTGCCTATTTTTATGCTTATTGATATCACTGTTCCCTGGGGTCAGGTTTCAGAAGAAAGAATCTAATTTTTCGCTGACATTGTAAAATTTGAGGGGGAGGTTAGACACCTCTGAGGAGTAAGTGAAGCATTTGGCTCCACCAGTTGCACAGATAATATGATCTGGGCCAGGTATAACAACTCAGAGATTTATACATTTTTTTTGAAAGTTAGAAGTTAATTTAAAATGATGATTATATTTACACCCATACACTCAAGGATGCCTATCCCATTTATGGTATTACAATGTTTTAGCGTGGCCAACAGGTCTAGGGAAGTGATTGTCCCCCTGTACTCAGCTCTGGTGAGGCCGCACCTTGAGTACTGTGTTCAGTTTTGGGTCCCTTGTTACAAGAAGGACATGGAGGTGCTCGAGCAAGTCCAGAGAAGGGCAACAAAGCTGGTGAGGAGTCTGGAGAACAAGTCTTACGAGGAGCGGCTGAGGGAGCTGGGATTGTTCAGCCTGGAGAAAAGGAGGCTCAGGGGCGACCTTATTGCTCTTTATAAGTACATTAAAGGAGGCTGTAGTGAGGTGGGGGTTGGTCTATTCTCCCACGTGCCTGGTGACAGGACGAGGGGGAATGGGCTAAAGTTGCGCCAGGGGTGTTTTAGGTTGGATATTAGGAAGAACTTCTTTACTGAGAGGGTTGTTAGGCATTGGAATGGGCTGCCCAGGGAAGTGGTGGAGTCACCATCCCTGGAGGTCTTTAAAAGACATTTAGACATAGTGCTTAGTGATATGGTTTAGTGGAGGACTTGTTAGTGTTAGGTCAGAGATTGGACTCAATGATCTTGAGGTCTCTTCCAACCTAGACAATTCTGTGATTCTGTGATTCTTGA